GCGCCTCCTGGGTTCACCCAGCTAAGCTTAGCTAAGCTTAGCCAAGCTTAGCTTAGCTTAGCTTATTTCATCTTGGCTTACATTAGCTTAGCTTATCTTTGCCTTGCCTAGCTTACCTTATCTCATCTTGGCGAAGTTTAGCTTAGCTTGGCTTAGTTTAGCTTACCATAGCTTAGCTTACCTTCGCCAAACCTAGCTTAGCATAGCTTAACACAACACAACGTAACACATCATTTGCACAACATCACATGACATATCATAGCCAAACATAGCATAGCATATCATACCATAGCCCAGCGTAGCATAGAATAGCATCGCGCAGCATAGCATAGCATTGCTTAGCAAAGCACAGCGCAGCATAGCATAGCACAGCGCAGCATATCATAGCATAGCCTGGCATATCATATCATCGCATATCGTAGCGCAGCAGAGCATCGCATTGCATAGCCAAGCAACTCATACCGCATCATAGCATAGTATAACATAGCATAGCAGGCAAAGCGAACACAAAGTCAAGCAAAAACAAGCAAGCAAAAGGAAAGCAAAAGCAACAGCAAAATCAAAGGCAAACACAAAGGCACGAGCAAAAGCAAAGGCAATGCACAGCAAAACCAAAACCAATGCGCAAGTGTATATGTAGACGTAGATGTAGGTGTAGGTGTAGGATGTAGGTGTAGATGTAGATGTAGGCGTAGATGTGTGGTGTAGATGTAGACGTAGATGTGAGTCTCGCTGTTGATGTTGATGTAGATGCAGATGCAGGTGTACATGTACATGTAGCCGTCGGTGTAGATGTAGATGTTGCTTTCCTAAATGCTCCAACTCCTAGGCAGGGTCGCACCGGGGTAACTTTTGACTACGAAACGCGCGAAAGGAGTCGCGCTGACTGCAAGGGCACGGCAGAAACATGAAAGCAACATAAAAACGTTGGAAATGCCACAGGTGCCACTAGTAACTTGGAAAAGCGAACATGGGAACGCAGCGAGAGTTACATAGACAGCTTGGGCACGCGCATAACACACTGCTGTTTCTACCCAGACGCGCGAGGCGAATGGCAGCAATCCAACTTGATGGGTTACGCGCCGCGTCCTATTAGGGACGCAGCGGTTTACCTCTAGACCCCCCGTAGAAGTAAACCCAAGCGAGAGCCCGCTAATCTTCCGAACCGCGGCCTCGACGCGTCGCGGGCCGGGTCGCGGGGGGGCGACGCCGAACAACAACGGACAGACAAACGACAGCGCCAAGAAGAATCCACATCGGGGAATCCCGAATGGCCCGCGCACCAGAGACAGCGAATGACCATCCGACGCCCTCGCCCTGATCGAACTTCGCTCCCCCGTCGGGCGTCGCTCCGCGATTCGACGCATTGGGGCCGGAGATTCTCGGCTGATCCCACGTCGATAATCCCGCCAGCCCTCTGGGCGTCGGTGGTTTAGGGCGTTTCCTCTCCCACCCCTCCCTCTTCCCCTTCGGGGAGGGGTTTAACCCTCCCCCCGCCCCCTCCCACGTCACAACGACGTGAGCCTGCCGAAAAGAAGGAGGAGGAGTGATCGGATGATTGTGTGTGTGTCCGTGGGAGCAGTAGGCTGAACATGTTCCTTGGTGCAGGGTGGCACCCATATGGCGCGTTCCAGAAACGGGCCTCGCCATCGTTCAGTCGGGCCTGTCCCTCTACAGGGGGAATATTCGAAAATTGTCATAGTTTGGGGACGATTTTTGAGTATTTTCTGTCGATGTTTGAATATGTTCTGGGTCTCCTTTTTTCGTCCAATATCCGCCTGCAGGGGGACATGCCCGACCTAACGCTGTCGAGAGCCGACAGGATCGGCCCCGCTTCCTCGGCTGACGGCGGCGCAAGGCCTGCGGAAGGCGGGCGGAAGGCAAAAACGGGGACGGCTCCGCCGGCGGAAGCCTGCGGAGGCCCGGCGGAGATGCCACACGGTTTTTTGGGGATTCGGGGGGTCCGGAGCTTGCCACACGTCAGAAGCCGGGCGAAGGCGGGCAAGCTCTCGGCTGCGGCGAGCGGTCAGAGCGCCCAAAACGGCCTCGGCGAGGAAGCCAAAATCATTGATTTGACTATGGTTTGGGCCCCCCCCATTTTGGCCGTCTGAGGGGGCAGCGCCAATTAAAGCCCCCCTCTTCTTTGATCGATTTCCTCCACGATGGCCGCAAGAGGCCCCCAGGATGCCCCAAGAGGCCGCAGGATGATCCCAAGATGGCCCCCCAAGAGGCCCCCAGGAGGCCCTCGAGAGACCCCGAAATCCCAAGATGTCTCATGCTGGCTTCCCCTGTGTGCTGTCCACTTCCCTGATCGAGGCAGTCCCACCGGCCCTCTGGGCGTCCGTGGTTTAAGGCGTTTCCTGTTCCACCCCTCCCTCTTTCCCTTCGGGGAGGGGTTTACCCTTCCCCCTACCCCCTCCCCGCGGACCTGGACGGGGGGGGGCCGCGAGCGGTCAGAGCGTCCAAAACGGCCTCGGCGAGGAAGCCAAAATCATGGATTTGACTGAGATTTTGGCCCCATGAGGGGGCAAAGATGGCCCCAAGAAGCGCCCGGGAGGCCCAAAGGCTCCAAGATGGCCCCAAGAGGCCCCAAGAGGCCCCCAGGAGGCCCCAAAGAGGATCCCGAACGGCCCACAGGAGGCCCCCCGAGACACCCAAGACGCCGAAAAGCCCCTCAGGACGACCCTCTACTCGCCTGGGCGTCGTTTCTGGACGGGCTGGTGGGGAAACGCGAAGCGTCTAGAATTTTCTTCTGGCCCCCCGCCGACGGCGCGAGGGCGCCGCCTCGGCATCCGAGCCCCCAATCAATGAGGCGGGGGGACCCGCGTGAACACGCGGCAGCCTTCTGCTCGTCAGTGGCGCGATCTGGAGAGCCAGCGCGGGATAGTGCTTCGACCGCCCGCGCGTCCGCGGCCTGTGCCTCGCGCCGTTCGCGGCTTCCCTTGGCCCGGCTATGAGCGCCTTCTAGCGCCCCGCCATCAAGGTGGAAATTCTGCCCTGGCGTCTCAGATCCCGCCGCGTCGAAGGTCGCAGACGCCCCCAGCGCCGCGGCCGCCCTCCCCGCCCAAGGCGCGACCTGCGGGGCCGGCGCGGGCAATGGCTTCGACCGCCCGCTTGTCCGCGGCCTGTGCCCCGTGCCTCCTAGCGCGACCCTTGCCTGAGCCCTCGACGCCCATCGCCGCCCCGCCGATCTGGAAATGCTCCGAAAAGCCAATCTGGAAATGCCGGCGGACCAACTCAGCCCCCGAAGCGCTGGAAGTCGAAGACTCTCGGAATCGCGGCTGCCCCTCCCCAGTTAGGGCCACGATCTGGAGGGCGGGCGCGGGCCGGGGCTTCGACCGCCCGCGCGCCCGCAGCCTGCGCCCCGTGCCCTGGGCGCCGACCTCTGGAAGAGCTACGCGTTGCTCTCGCCGCTCCGCCGACCTGGCAATCGTCTGGCTCGCCTGGTTGGCGCGGGACATCGGATAGGCGAATCGGCCATTCGTGCAAATCCAGCGCGCTAGGATGGCGTTCCCCCTTTTCTGGAACGCTTCGAGCCTCTCTCTGGAAGCCTCTTCGCCCCCTGTCAAAGTGAAAAGCATATCTCTGGCCCGCGTCGCCGAAAGGCTCAATTTCTTGTTGGGCCCCTCCTGGGCCGCCGACACTTGAAGCAGCAGCGGTGCCACCAGCAGTGCCATCGACGTTCTGTTCATTTCCACCGTCGACGTCCGTCATACTTGGGAACTTGCAAGCTGTTTAAAACAGCAGATCCTGGGGGTGCTGAGACGTCTTGGCTCTTCATAACTGCTGGAAGTTCCTCTGGCACCTTCTATTCCCTGAACTCGGGCAACTCTGATCACTTGGGCAATGGCGTTGCATCATGCTGCGTCTAAAGTGTGAGCTGATCCGCTGTATCTGCAAACTCAAAATCAAAATGTGACAACTTTGCGTTCTTTGCTGTGATCTAGTTTTCCCTTTTAGCGATCGGCTCCAGCAGAATTGCCAGTTGCTTAATATGGTCGGCAACTTCATCCTGCACCTTTTTGTAATCGAGTTTTCGCACACTGGAAGTCCTGCGCCGCTCTCCTGCGCTGTGGTAGGTGAGCGTAGTACGCTTGTTTCGCAACTCTTCCATCGGATCTGCAACGGGCGTCTTGAATGCTGCATCGCTGGTTCGCAAGTGTTCAGAAACATCTGGTACACAAGCGTTTGGCAACATCTTCAAGCACATTCCTTGTTTAGTTGCGCGACCTGGCCCCCTGTGATATGATCCTTCGCCTCTTTAGGCTATGCCTCTCAATTTGTTGGAACGCAATTTCAATGTGAAGTCACGGGGATCGCGCTCCGGTCGGAGCGGCATCGTCTGATGTATGTGGTGGACGGCGCATGAGGAGGTCTACAAACATTCAATCATTGACTGTGCCGAGCCTCGAACCTGCCAAAGTTGTTTCCACCATCGCTGCTGTATTGACCTTTCCCCAGTGCTTTGATTTCCTCCTCGCTTTTCTTGTCCTTTCGCGGACGGGATTCGTTGTTTTCCCTTGCAGCTGCGTTATCTTGCGGCCTTGTTCTGAATCATTTGGGGGGCCGGGTTGCCGCACTGACGCACCGAGCTGCTCGCCCAATGTTGTGCCACCCCAGATTTGCTGCAAACCCAAACTTGGATATCTCAATCCAAGATGCACCCTCCATTGCAAGTGGCACCATGAGCGTGCGGCAAACATTGCGGGATGGAGCCGCGGCCCAACACACAGAAGTCGGAAGTGCTGCCTCCGCGAACGCAGTGGAGGCCGCTCCCCTCCCCCCGCGCCAAGCAAACTCCTGCCCTGAGACAAACCGCTACGGACTTGAGACGAAATGGCCACAGTGAAGGAAGGGTTGGCTGGGAAGGATGAGCATGGGAGGGGGGGGGCACGAAGGCAGGATGGAGAGGAGGCTGGGAAAAGGGGATAGGCTGCCAGGTCAGTCTCTACCCGCCGACCCAGCAAAAGTTACACGGGGTAGAGGCTATCGCGGCAGGCCTCGGTCTTCGGCACGAGCAGCGCGCAGACGGGGCTCTGGCCACCAGCATCTGCAGGCGGCTCCGGCCCACCACCATCGCCCATGGGCCAGAGAGGGGGAGGGCAAGACAAGGACAAGAAAAGTTTCGGAAGACCTGGGGCTGCGCACAGAAGACCGCCAAAATTAGTCGCAGCAAGACCTCCGAGCAGTCCGGGACGGTCTCGGCAAACTGACACCGCCTCTGGCGGCGCCCCGCAACCCAGGATTCGGGTGCCGAGATAACTCCAAAGTGCCCGGAGGGCCTGTTGATGCTAACTCGAGAGATTGCGCGAAACTCCCAGCCTTCCAAAGCCAACCCCGAACCGCCTACCCGGCAGGGTCCGCCCGCCAAATCCGCCAGCCCTGGCCCGCCCGCCCGATATGCGCTTCTGCGGAAGAAGGATCCACGCGTTAGTGTGCCGGTTGGGTGACCAGCCCGCGCGTGCGTGCTCGCATCGACGCGCCCGCGCCAGAGCACGAGATAAGGAGAGACAATCCAGATGCGAAGGGCCAGTGGCGGGGGGGGACGACCGCTTTCAGCAACGGCGTTGTCTTCTAACCGTGCACCCCCTCCCCTACCCCACAATCTCCTCTGGACCTGTTGACGGAATCCCACCAGCCCTCTAGGCGTAGGTGGCTTAGAGAACTCGCTCTTCCAATCCCTTTGATCTCCGGAAGGGGCAAGCGACTGATCCCTGAAAGCAATCCACCCATCCCCTACTCGACCAACCGCAAAATAGGAACAATGAACCACTCCCCATCCCACCATACTTGTCAACACGCAAAACAGAATGCAGTGGTGGCACAATGTGTGGAACACTTTACGTTGATTTTTGACAGGGGTGGCCACGGGGGGGTCATGTTTATTCGCTGTGCGCAGGCACACTATGGCTCCAAAGGTTCCCAAGACGATCTCCAAGGCCGTCAGAAGGGCCAAGGGGGCCATGAGACGGTCCAAGAGGGCCCCAAGAGGCCCAATCCATGCCCAGAAGAGGCCCCCAGAAAGCTCCCAACCGGCCTCCAGGAGGCGCCAACAGAGCCCAAATATTATATGCTAACAAGAGGCAGCCTCATCTTTGTCCTACTCATCGTCCTCCAGTTTCTTCTTTTGCTGCTGCTGCTCCGTCTCCTCCGTCTCCTCCATCTCCTCCTCCTCCTCCTGCTCCTCCTCCTCCTCCTCCTCCTCCTCCGACTGCTCCCGCCCCCGGCGGCCGAACGACATGAGACTACTCGACGCGGAGATCCACATGTGTGTATCTCATTTTCTGGCGCGTTCCGCCGTGAGCGTGTGGCTGTGAGTGTCTCGACGTGACAGCGAATCCGGATGGACGACTAGCGCAATCAAGAAAGAGATGTCAACGGCGCCGAAACAAGCAGACCGCTTGAGATATCCCCACAGTCTGGGTGCGAACAGGGGAGTGCAACACTCCTGGCGGCTCCACCTGGGGACGCCCAAATGCTACCCCTGTTGCATCGCGGTGAACACTGGACCACCAAAATAGAACAGTCGCCGGCGCCGGCACGAGCAAACCGCTTGAGACATTCCCGCAATCTGGGCACGAACGGGGGAGAAGCCAACCCCCCGGAGGTTCCCCCCGGGGGTGTCCAATCTGGACGCGAACGGGGGAGTGTCCCACACCCTGGCCGTGGTCACCATCGCGCCGCTTTGGCAGCTGGCGGAATCGCTCCGCCGGGGCAGATTCCCGCGCGATCTGTGGCGGGAGGCAGAGGGAGCACTGGCCGCGGACCACAGGCGCGGGAGCGGGCCGATCGCGGCGGCCACGCGGAGCCTTACGAGATTGGGGCTCGTCACCGATGTCGAGCTCTGGCGCGGAGCCCCCAGGCGCCCAGACGGGTGGCGGCCTGCCGTCGAAGCCTTGCGTGACACCCAGCAAGTGCTGCTTGAGGCCTGGGCCCGTCGCGAGGCGGGCGAAGTGGCCGCCCAGCGCGCCGATTTCGCCCACCTCCGGGCACGGGTTGACAGGTGGGAAGCTCGGCGCTTTCTCGTCAGCGGGCAGTTAGCGTCAGACGCGGCAGCCACGTGATAACTGAGTCAATGGCCGCCAAGTAGGGTGGGCGGCAGCTCGGGGCACGGCTCTGCAGGTGTCCGGTTTCACGCAGTCCTCGCTCTGGGCCGCCTTGCTGCCTGCCGTGGGGCTCTCCCCGTGGACGCCAGCCTCGAGGCCCTGGGGTGGCGTCTCGCGCGCCGCTCGCGTTGCCTCCTCTGCCATCCCCGGAGCAGCCAGATCCGCGTCCGCAGAGGCTCCTCGCCTGGACGGACGGCGCCTGCCTGCGCCCTGGCGACCCCCTGCTGGCACGGGCGGCGCGAGGGCTGCGGCTCGAGCGCCCGCACGCAGGCCCCGTCGACTGCAACGGCCCTGTCGACGGCGCGCAAACAGCGCAGCGGGCGGAAGTCAACACCGTCGAGCGCGCGGTCATCGAGGCAGGCCGGCCCGTCGAGGTGGTGACGGACTCGCGCTACGTCCGCAACGGGGTCGCTGCGCTGCGGTCCAGAGCGTGTCACTTGGTCACTTGGAGTGGCAGCACTCCAACCTCTGCAGGCCTTGATCGCGCCGCGCTGTCGCCGCGGTTTCGTGACGGCGCGCTGGGTCAAGGCGCGCCTGGCCGCCGCGGCAGCGCGCGCCCGCGGGATAAGCGCCGAGGATAGGGAGGGCAACGCAGCAGCCGACCTCCTGGCCGGCGCCGCAGCCGCAACGCGGATGCTGCCGCCCGATCTGCGCGCCGCGCGGGACCGCCAGCTGCGGGGGCTCTCACAGCGGCGCAGCGGCTGCTGGCGGCGGTGGAGCTCGCCGCATTGAAAGCGAACTACGGCAGCCACGCGCAGGGCGGCTCGGGCGTGCGGCGGCGTTGGACTGCTGCAGGGCCGGAGGCGGCGCCGGCGCCTGCGCCGCCGCCAGCCGGCGCAGGGGCGCGCCGCCCGAACCGCCGAGGGGGTCGCGGAGGTAACGTGGCGCCGCTGCCGCCCAACGAGGCCGCGCGCGCGCTGTTCGCCGGCCGCGCTTGGCAAGGGCCTGCGCGGGTAGCGTGCCCCGGGTGCCTTCTCATCGCAGTGGTGGCGCGCGCTCGCTGTGCGGCCGTGCCCAGGCTGGGCCCGCGAACTGCCGCCGCGGGCGGCGGCGCTCCTCCTGGTGCCGGCAGCGTGCGCCAGCGGTGGCGAGGTGGCTTGGCGCGCGGCGCTCGCGGCGCGCCTGGCCGAGCGGCCCAGGCCGCCAGGGTAGTAATTACTTCCCGGCTTTCCCTCCCCTCACCACTTCTCTGCCGCGGGGCTCTCGGCTTGGCTAAAAAACATGTCCCACCCCCTTGCGGCTCCCCCTTGGGGTGCCCAAATACCACGCCTCCCATATCGCGGTGAGCATTGGACCACCGAAACGGAAATGTCGGTGGCGCAAACCGCTGGAGACACCCCCAGCGTCTGGGCGCGAACGGGGGATTGTCCCACCCCCTGGCGGCTCTCCATGAGCTGCTGATGCAGAGGCGCGAAGAAGACGGAGGAAGGGGATGCAATAGGAGGGATAAAAAAGGACCAGTTTGAGATAGCTGTCATGAGGTGGGAGGATGTCGCCTTGCAGCTTGAGTCGGACTGAAGAGAACACGCGAAACAAGGCAGAACTCGCGTGAAACATTTCAAAGAGAATTCCTCCTCCGCCTCCCTGGTGCGCAATAGGAATGCCCTCGAGTCGTTGCTTGTCCCCAGGGTAAGCTCATCTGAGTGGGCTGATTTGTGGGGAATTCGAAATGAAATAACGCACGGCTCTAAGGATTCTTGAAGGCCGCCGACCCCCCCCCCCCGCCTTCGGGAGATTCTGGGTGCTCTCGGAAACTTCTGGAGCTTCCCCCTGGGCCCTTCCTGAGCTGAGACTACGGCCTGGAACTCAGTCCCCGAAGGGGCCCCTGAAAAATCCTGGGGTGACCAGAAAGAGGGGGGGACCGCCGACGGCATGCTGGAGATCTGCCCTCAAGTTGTCCACCAAACACCGCCCCCAGAGGCCCACATCCTGCTCACATTCCACAAAACGACCGCATTCGCCACGAGTGTTCCTCCCCTCGGGGGGCTCGCCGCGGAGAATGACGCTTGCCACCACTCGTTCTGACTGCGCCATTGTCCCAGAACCCCCAGAACCCATGCACAAGGGCGGGATTGGCCGACGGCTGGTGGACCCGGCGCCCCCAGTGTTCAGACAAGGGCACTGGGCATGTTCAATGCGTAACAGATCTGTCATCGCCACAAGCGCTCAAATGGCTAAAGAAATGCTGCCCAACAAATCGCCCATCGGCCCAACACGGCCTAAGTATTGCCCCAGAGGGCTCAAGACACCGCAAACATGGCCCACGAGACGCCCAAGACGGGCCCCAAGGGGCTCCGCAGGGCCCCGGGGCCCAAATCAGAAATATCATCTGCTTCATCTTAGGTCCTCCAACAACGTATGGCTTCCAAGGAATGTTACACAAGGCGATGCGAAAAAGGCAGCGGGAATGTCAGAAAGGCTCATTCGGGTCCCAAGATTGCCTCGTACGGCCCGAAGGGGTAACGATACAGACTAAGAAGGCCCAATATGGCCACGGGAGAACCCCAAGACGAGCAAGAGGCCCCGAAGACAGAGCCCCAAGACGGCCCAAGAGTGCCCCTAAGGACCGAAGAGAGCGTTGAGAGAATTCCGAGAGGGCTCAAAAGACTAAAAGAAGCCCCCCATTTAGCCACGAGACGGCCGAGAGATCGGTCGTGAAGAAAGCAACGTGCCCCGACCAGCATACAGGGCCCGTAGCGCAGACGGCCGCCTTGCACCATCCTTCATCGCCATAATCGCTCAAATGGCCCAGGGCAGCCGAGATGGGCAAACGAATGCCCATGGCGACCCCAAACGGTCCCAAGACCGCCCAAGAGAGCTCCAGACAGCACCGGGATGGCCCATGAGGGTGTCCAGCAAAAGCACCAAGAAGGCCAAACTAGCTCTGCAAGACGGTCGCAAACGCCACATGAGGGACCTAATACCAGAGTGGACAAACGGGTGGATGGCAAAGGTGGTCATTGGTCAGAGGATCAACTACGTGCTGTTCTGTTCGGCGCCTCCTGGAGCCACGCATCACAGAAAGTGCCCCAGTGCGGGACCGAAACCAGCTGCATGCAACAAATATTGTGCCGTCCCATTATCAACCCCTTATCGTCAAACCGACAATCTGCGATTTGCTGATGAAGTGCTACCTTTTGGGACATCTCTGCCAACTCAAACACATGCTGGTTGGCTTGAAAGAGGCAACGCAAGAACCGGGATTCATTCTCCACCCTGGACAAACGAATATACCATCACACACAACGAAAGCAGCAAAGCGCCCGACATATTCTCATGTGACAGTCGGAGAGATGAACATTGCGATCGCCCCATACGAAGACAAAATTCAATATCTGGGCAGAACATTGTGTTTCGATCGATCATCCGACGTAGAGGTTGAACACCGGATCACCATGGACAGTGAGCTGACCAACCGGACGCGTTCAACAAATGCACGCATGCGGCTCTTCGACGCCGCGGTGCCCAATGGATTTCCCAACCCTCCTGTGTTGGGATCTAGTTTTAATGAAAGCAGTGTGGTATCCACTACTGTTCCTCCCTCTCCTCCTCCCTCCTGCCTCCTACTGCCTCATGCCTCCTTGCTTCCCCTGCTCGTGCCTTTTCTACTGGTGGGCTGCGACCTGCGCAACTGTCGCCGCTTTCGCGGGCTCCTGGGAGGTCCAGCGGCGTCGGGGGGCCACGCGAATCCATTGGGGACCTCGCTGCTCCCTGGGTGGCTGCGAACTGAGCAACTGTCGCCACTTTCGGGAGCTCCTGGGGGGTCCAGCGAAGTCGGGGGCCACGCGGATCCAGCCGAGACCTCGCTGCTCCCTGGGTGGCTGCGAACTGCGCACCTGGCACCAATTTCGTGTGTTCCTTGGAGGTCCACCGGGGTCGGGGGCCACGCGGATCCATTCTGGCCCTCGCTGCTCCCTCGGTGGGTGCGAAGTGCGCAATCCCACCAGCCATGTAGGGCGTGAGTGGTTTAGAGCTTCCTCTTCCAACCCCATTTCCTCCCCTTCGGGGAGGGTGTACCCCTCCCGTTCTACCCCCTTCCCCTGGACCTGGATGAGGGGGCGGGGGGCGCGAGGCATTAGAGAGGGTTTAGGGTGTTCAGAACCACCTCGGCAACGAAACCAAAATCATTGAGTTTACAAATGGTTTGGCCACATGTTGGCCTCGTGTGGGGGGTGGGGTGGGGGTGGGGCGTGGATTGAGTACGGCCCGCCCTAATTTAGAAGCCCCCCAACAAGCAAGTCCCCAAGAGTGCCCAAGAAGGTTCCCAAGGTCCCAGGAGACCCTCGAGTGGCCCCGAAGACGCCCCCAAGACGCCTCCACGAGGCCCCCAGGATGCCCCCCCAGAGGCCTTAGGTATTGCCAGGAGACGCTCCAAGATGCCCCAAGAAGCTCCTGACAGAAATCCGAAAAGAGGCCTCTGGCCTTTCTGCTCCTCCTCCTCCCCCTCCTCCTCTTCCTCCTCCTTTTCGTCCTCATCCGCTGGTTTCTCCTCCTCCCTCCGCCGTCCTCCCCCTTCCCCTCTCCCTCCTCCTCCTCCTCCTCCTCTCCCTCCTCCTCCTTCTTCTTCAAGTTCCTTCAAGCAGCGGAACGTCTGCCTTTGGGAGAAACACGACGGTCAGGGGTAAACATAAAAATGCACTACTGATGCGAAAACTCCTGCCCACCACGCGGTTGGTGGACGGGTGCTTCCCCTCTTTGAGCAGCCTAAGGGTCTTGTCTCCATCCCTGTTGCGGAGGTTCCCTCTCCGAGCAGGCGGAGCAGGGACATTCCGAAGGCTGCACATCTGGAGCACCACACCAGGGAGGAGCCATGGAGCTACACCTCATGGTTCCTGCCAACCATGCGGGCCAGTCCCGGGAGGCCCGCGTATGGCATAGCACACGCAGCACGCTCTGAGAGATCACGGGGTCCACAACGGGTGCATATGAAAGCCTTCCCCGCCCTGCTAGCTCGTTGCAACGCGTGGCTTGGAAGGTCGGGGACGAACTGCACGGCATCAAACGCCGGCTTGCGGGGTTTCCTAACCCGCTGGACGTCAGGGGCGATACAAAATGAGAGATGCTTGCCGAAGGCGCCGATTCATTTACATACCAGTCTCAGCGAGTCGCGCCAATTTTGATGCCTTCGTACAAGGACAGGGTTGGAATTGTGCCCATTGGCCCACCGCCCCGCAAGTTTGACAGCTAGAGCGTGGCCACACTAAGCCCAGAACGGCACAGTGGAAATCCTGGAACAGGCCTGCCAAAATGGGTGGGCCTTGATGTGTCGGACATCCGTATTTTCGAACCCGAACTCCACAGATAAGTAGAACACCTCGGCCCATATCGCCGAAACAACGAGTTGCGAGCGGCCCGCGTCTGGGCCAACATCCCAAACAAACGTGACAGCCTGGTATCTATCTATCTATCTATCTATCTATCTATCTATCGATCTATCTATCTATCTAGCTATCTATTATATATACACAGGATTCTGGGGCAGCCTGACGGACGGCCATGGGCAAAGCGTGACCCCCCTCCGCTACTTTGAAAGGGGGTGGGGGCTGGGCCCAAACACGCTACAGTCTGATCCGCCAACCTCTAAAAGACTAACAACCACCCAACCCGCCCTTGCCGAGAACGGGGTCCCCTGGTCCAAACCCGAGCCGTCCACGCAAAGGACCCCAAAAAACTAAAAGCACGGCGTGGGTCCCAGCGGCGGGACTGGGCCATGGACAGGGTGGGCCAATCGACCACCGGGTCGGGCATAAGGGCCCCGGTGGAAAATAAAAAATCGGGCCCACCTACGCCGCCACAAACGACACAACAAATATCGATATCACGACGGAACAGGCGGAACCCAGGGCTGTCATCAGCCTGCCCGCACGACAGGCAGCAAGGGTTGACGGCCTGTCATCCATGAAGAGCTGCATGGCACGGGCACCCACCAGCCACGACCCCAATGACGAAAGTGGCAGCGTCTAGGTTGTCGCGTTTGCGGAAGCTCTAAAGACCCTCACGAATCACCGCGATCAGCGGCTGCTTAACCCTGCCATCAGGGGACGCGACAGACACGTAACGCAACAACTGGCGGCATGTGCCCTGCTCGACGAGGGGCGCGACGGGGTGGCGGCCGAACGTGGAGAGGCCAAGCGGGATCCCGCCCGCGATGCCCCTCCCCACCGGGGCGCTGGAAGGCGGCTAGGACGGCGCCTGCAGGACCCGATAAAGAGGACCACCTCACCGGCTCGCCGCTGGCCTGTAGTGCGTGCAGCACGTGGCCAGCATGGAGCGATGGCCTGGTGCCGCGTGCCAAGCGGGCCCAGTTCGCTGGTTGGCGGGGCCCGGCTTGCGATCCTGATTGAAGAGCGACTTGAAGGTCCCACTGCGGCCCCGAGCGGGCCCAAACGCAGCGCTGCCGACGACGGCGCTAAGCGGTGCCAATTGATCGGGGGACATGCCCGTGACCCGCATGCCGTGGAAGGCCGATTGGGCCCCGCCTGTCTCGAGAACCCTGTGCATGCCCGAGAAGGAGGATTCAAATCCACTGAACCTGTAGAGCCTTGAGAGCAGGGATTGCCATCTACGCCGCTGGACTTTGGTCGCGCGCCTCCGAAGGCTTGCGACGTCAACGCCCAACCTGTTCGTGGCCCACATGCCCTTGGAACCCCGAGCCCTCAGCTCCAGCTGAACGCACATTGATATCGCGGCCGCCAGTGCCACGCAGCTGACGCGTTTCCCCTTGCTCGCGGCCCCACCGCCAAGCAAGACAAAATGCAAAGGCGAGGTGGCGAAGGAGCAGCCAGCGAGGGCCCCCCGGTCAACATGCACATCCGCAGATACACGCATGTCGACCTGCAACATGCGCCTGACTCGGCGCAGCCGGAGCAGGAATCTGAGTCAGTGTGTTCGTAGCCTTTGCTTCGCGCCATATCTGGCAAGCAAATGATGATATGCCTTGGCTTCATCTGGGGGGCTGCGTCCGCCCCTGTCTATTGGGCCCTCATGCCTGGGTAATGGCAGGGGCGACTTTTGGGTGGTATTACCAAAAGGTCCCAATCGCTTTTTGGGACACGCAGCTCAAATCGCAACTTTGGTACGGCGTCGACGTGCACACGCATCTGTATTTTATGCAATTCATTTTAACATATGCGAACTGGCTAGGACACTTGTAGGCGAAAAGAGTCATGCCGTCGCACAGTAAATTCTCGCTTCCATTGTTTTTTCTGCTTTGGAGGGGGCCGAATATAGATTTTGTTGTTTCAACATCCGTAGACGGTGCTTGGCAAGCTGAACGCGTTGTTGTTAGCACAGGGCTGGCAATAAACATCAGTCGGATGACCCCTCCCTGGTGGCAGACAGCCAGAGGTTCGGTTTGCTGTGTCCGGTTCGAGCGCGTCTTCAATGTACATAGCGCAAGCGCTTGCTTGTCAAGATGATTTCGATGGCGTTGTGTGGCTGGCCTTGTTTTTGTTTGTTTTGCTCCCGAGTCTGATCGCGTTGTGCGGTGCCCTCAGTTGCTTTGGTTCATGGCCCTCAACAACAGAGAGAAAGCGGCACCCGTCAAGTCACGGGCGAAAATCAGTATCCTCTTCGGGGCTTTGGAGGCACGTTTGGGGCCATCTTGAATGACATCGATCAGCCAGAGGGACGTGTTTTAATTAGCCTGCCCCCACACCTCTCGAGCCCCGCAAGCCATCCGGGCCCTCTTGGGGCGCTCTTGGGACGCTCCCGGGCGCTTGGGGGGACCGTCTTGGAGATTTCCGGGGTCCTTCTGGGGACACCAGGGGCTCTCTTGGTCCATCTTGGAGCCATCGTGAAGCCTCGGAAGGCTGTTGCCAGCGAAAGGGGCGGAACATGCATAGGTTTTTGATGTCCTTATTTTGTCTGGGAACTTGGCCGCTCGCGCGTTGGATCTTGAATTTTGGAAATGAGGGCGCGGCAATGGTGGATTGGAAACTAGATTAGACCTTTAGCGGTCGCCACGCGGCTTTCGGGCGTGACGCGCGTCGCCCGCGCGCGCATCAGCGCGCCTGCGTGGCAGGCTCGTGCACAGTGGAAGCGCAGAAGTCGCCACCTTTGCGCGGGAACTTAAATCTTACATTCTCGCGCCCAAAAGTCTTTGAGAATTTAGCATGACGTTTTTGCGCCCCCTTTGGATGCACCGAGCGCGCAGGACGTGGGCGGTGCGCGCGCGCCGGTGTCTTCACTGGGTGGGAACGCATAAGTCGCCACGCTGTCATAATAACTAGCGTTTTGCATTGGCGCGCAAGAAAGCTATTGTTGATCTTCGCGCGTGCACTGGCTCGCACGGCCATCCTGTACATAGCCGTACAGACTCATCGAGCCATATTGCTTTGAAAGCTGAATGGTTCCATGTAGTGACTGTCGTCCGTCCCGATGCCAACTTAAGCGCGGTTTCCACATGTACACGAGGTGCCCAGTGCACAGAGGGCGCGCGTCGCGGCGCGTGCATGACAAGGTCTGCCTCGCAGGAATGAAGAAGTTCGGTTGTCTGGTAACCGAAGTACGCCTTTAACGAGCGCGGCCCCGACTCGCAACTTTAAGTGTGTGTGTTTTCGCAGTTTCGCCAAGAGAGGCACGGTGCAACGCGCTTGGCGCCGTTTCCATGGCAAGCGCTGCGTTGTCGGCGCGGTCAAGTTGCCCACTTGGCTTGGAAGCACAACCGGCGCCCAGGTTTGCGATCCTGGACGTCAGCTGGGCGCGAGGCGTTTTCAATCCTGCACGGGGAGCTACGCGCGCGCGGCGTCGACCGCGCAGCGAGGTCCGCGGTTCCCAAATCAAGAGTTCTCCTCGCGGGTCTGGGGGCTGACATTGGCATTTGGCGCGCGTTCAATTCTCATGTTCGACTTAGCGCGCTGTTGTCCTAAGCCAACCGCGCGGCGAAATGCGCGACGCGCAGTCGCGCGCGCGCGGCGGCGCGCGCGCGGCGACTTCTGGGCGTCGCCGCGACGCGTTCAAGCCGCGCATCGCCTGGAAAATGCGCCGAAGATGCCGCGCGCCGCGCGGGTGGCCTCGAGCGCGCGGCCAATGGCAACGACAGCGCGAACTGCGTAGACGGCTTGGCGCGCGTGAAGGCACGGCGAGGCGCGCGCGCCGCGAGCGAGAGCACTCCCACGCTTCTTTTCTGGACCCATGGCGGCGTGATGGTTCGGTGTCCAGGAGCTGTGCTTCGGTCGCGCGCAGTCGAAAGCACGCCCCCGCGTCGGGGCAGCCGCGAGCGAGGCGGCCCCGTGGAAGGCGGGTTCGACTGGTTCGCCAGGGGGCGCGCGAACTGGCTGGAGACCCCGTGTTGACGCCGGCCGAGGAGGCGCTGCGGGTCGCGCATACTCCGCTGGCGTGCAGCGCGCGAAGCGGAGGGACGGCGGTGCAGTTGGCATCGCGCACGGGCGCGCGGCCTCGTGCGGCCTCCTGCGGCCTGTCGCGGCCAACGAGAGGGCGCTTTTGTCCGCGCGCGTTCGAACGCCCTGGGCGGGGGGACCACAGGAGTCTCGAGAGGGCTTCGTCGCGCAACGCATAGGAGTAAAATGCATTTTCGTGGCGCCGGACATTCCGCGCACAGGAAAAAAAAGCCCCTCAGGGCACTCGAGACACCTCGCGCGCCCAACTTTTTTTTTGAGGCCGAAACTGCGACGTCGCCATTTGGGCTCGAAACTGCGACGTACGTTTCATTTTTCCTCCGAAACTGCGACGTACGTTTCATTTTTCTTCCGAAACTGCGACGTCGAAGAAAAACAAAGTCCACCTCGCTCGCCGAGACACTCATGCCCGGAAAACAAAAGTCCACCTCGCTCGCCGAGACACTCATGCCCGCAAAGGCAGAATGCGATTTCGAACGCGGGCACACTTTCGAGAAAACGCACAAGTCATTTTCGCGTCTACGCTTGCCGTGCTCGAGCACTAGGACGCACTTTAGAAAAAACCTCCGAGTGTCCGGGGGAGCCCTGACAGCTGTTTCCCCCCCACCACCCGCCCTGCGGGGCGGGCGGCTGCGTCGAGCCACCGGGGGGGGGGGCGCGGGGGTCCGCGTGGGAACCGTGCGGGTGGCTGCGGCCACCCGCAGCACCGCCTATGCGCGCCCGGGCGCGCCCTGGCGCATCTGCCGCGGGTGCCTGCCTGCGCCCGCCCACGCGGTCCGCGGGTGCCTGGTCGCGCCCGCCCGTGCATTGCGCGCGCGCGCCTGGCTGCGCGCGCCCGCGGGCCGCAAGTACCTGGCTGCGCCCGCGCGCGCGGGCAGCGGGTGCTCGGCCGCGCCCGCCCGCGCACGCCGCGGGCGCCATGGCGCGCCCGCCCGCGTGCATTACTGGTGGCGCCTAGCGAGGGCGTGCCCTCGCAGACCGTGCAGCCTCGTCGATCCCGAGCTCCGCGAGCCCCTTGAGCTTCGGTCGGTTCAGAGCGTCGCAGGCCCCGAGCCTCGCGCGCCACGGGTGCCTGGCCGCGCGCGCCTGGGCCCCCGACCCACGCGCGCCGCGGTCTGCGGGTCTTGTGGGATAAGTGGGGGCCCGTGGGGCTTGTGCGACATGTGGGGACCGTGGGGCTTGTGCGACGTATAGGTCCCGTGGGGCTTGTGCGACCTGTGGGGCCTGTGGGGCCCATGTGGCTGCTTGTCGGGTTTGCGGGCCCGGTGCGACCTGCGGGAAACCGTGCGATTTGCCGGCCCCGGGTCCTCGCAGACCCTTGCGCCTAGGTTGGCCCAGCGCTTTCCAGACTTGCGCCATGGCCCCCTTGGTTGTTGTAGTTCACAAAATACCTGGGCTGGCACCGAGCCAAATGGCACCCGTGTAGGAGCATCTCGCGCTCCGCGCGAGATAAGAGCGCAACTAGTTCCAATTGGCAGGAATCGCTCGGCCGCGCGAAGGGAAGGGGGGGTCGCTGGCAAGTGATGCTCGCCAAAAAAATCGGCTGACGCCGAGAACAAGCTTCGCGCTTCTCGCGAGAGAGGGCAGCGGATTGCACGTCGCCACGAACGTTCGGCTGCCGCCCATTCAAGGAGCCCCTGGCTGGTTGTTGGATACAGGAGAAAAAGGCGCTCGGCGTGCGCCGAGACAAGCAAGCAGCTTCGTTGTTGCAGTTCGAAAAAATAGCTCGCGCTCCGCGCGAGGACGGAGGGCTGCGCATGGCAATTCGCAGCACTTCGCTCGGCCGACGCCGAGATAAATGGAGTCACATGTTGCGCGCGCTACCCCGCGAGGTGAGCAAATGTGCGCGGCGGCGCGAATGGCGACAGCGCTTTTTGCTGAGCAACCACGACGTGGACGGTGAAGACCTTCGGTCGCTGCGTGGCTCGCGATTGGGGCCTGCTCCATGCTGGCCATGCGCGAGCGCTCTTGTTGGGGTCAGGCCCAGGCCTAGTGCATTCCAGCCAAGCCATGCCTTGTATCGTCCTCGTAGTATGGCTTCCAAACCCAACTCTGATCTACTGCTTGTGGTCAACCAGGGCACATAAGGCGTCAGGCAAGCTCATTGCACGGTATTGTTGCGCGCCCCCACAAGCCCGCTCGGTTGCGAGTGGCGTTCCTGGAAAAATGACGCGCGCAAGCGTTGCACCAGCCCGTTCCTTTGTTGGCCAGCTGGGCGGCGCTGACAGGCACCGCCAGGTCTTGCAACCTGCGTAGTTTGTGAACGTGCGCTGCGTTCGCGCGTGGCCGAGGAATCGTTCTCCCAGGATATCCGGTCTGACTTGGGGGAAGGGGGGGATGTGCATGTGCGTAGCGTTCGCTTTCACGCAGTATGCATGTGCATTGCATGTTGGCATCTTGCAGCGGGGGCATGCGTGTGTTCTGGGTTTGATGGCATGCCTGCATCTAGTCCTTGCATGTCGGAGTTTCGCTTGCGTCGCAGCA